CGTGGCTCCTCCAGCTCCAGGGCTCTGGCGTAGCTCCTTGTGTCTTCTCAGCAGGAAGGTCTCCCAGGGAGTGAGCGTGTCCGCCTCCAGGGAGCTATGTATCTCTGTGGCGCCTCCCAGTGAGGTCATCAAGCTGAGACCTGATTGGCAGGCCCGTCTCCACCCCTTTGCAAGTGGACAGCTTATGTAACTGCACCTACGGCCTGTGGCTACAGGTTAGCCATGCTCAGACCCTCTTAGACCCAGCGGGAGGCACCTGCAGATCCCTAAGGAAGGCCAACAGATGCTGGAAAGAGACGAGGGTCTCCTCCCACGGATGGGAGAGCCAGCCTTCCCAGCTACCTGACGCCTTGAATTCGGGACTGTAGCTGCCTGCCTGAAGGAAGGCGTCTTTGATTGTGAAAGCAGCGCATGAGTGACGTTTGTGTTACAGAAACTCTCAGTGAAGACTGGCGTGTGTGAAGGAGAGCATTTCTGAATCATTCTGCCCTTTCTACATGTTGAGAAGCATCCAGAGAGAGGGATAAAGTTATAATAGGTTGCAGTCAGCTCTGTTGAGGTTATTTCAGTGCTTGGGAAGAGAGAGGCAGTTGACAGTCACTAAGGAACTGGGTGCAGTTAGTGAAAGGCTGACCCTACAGTAGGCCTGGGGAGAACAAGGAAATATGTCAGATGCCTGTGAATTCTCGCCTGTTCTTCCTGTGCTCACGGTCCCTTGCTGATCCAGAACGTGTGGCTGTTTTCAGGACTCCGTGGCTGTGGAGGACGTGGCCGTGGTCTTCAGCCGGGAGGAGTGGGCTCTGCTGGATCTGGCTCAGAGGAAACTCTACAGGGACGTGATGACGGAGACCCTGACCAACCTGGCCTCCGTCGGTGAGAATTCCATCCCTTTTTTCCAATTTTTCACTTTGGATCTTGATGCAATCGTTGTTCGCTGCGCTCCAGCGGTACAGCCTGAGGCACGGGCACGTGGAGTGAAATAAAACACGCGTGGTATTTCGGCTTCCCCGTGGATACAATTAACACTGTCGTGCATTAAAGTAAGCTCCCCTGCATGTCGCGATCGAGGGGCTCTTCCAGTTTGGTCTGTGCAGCCGTGGGCTTCAGCACACCTGGGAAGCTGTTAGAGATTTATAATTTGGGACTTCGTGGAGAGCATCGTTTTGTCATTTATAGGTTTGACACGCTTGTGTCTAGTCCGGGTAGACTAGAGATACAAATCCTGAGACGCACGTATGTGTCTAAGGGAGAACTTTATATGAAAGAACAATTGTATGTACAGAAACATCCCAGCCCGGTCCAGATC